CAGAGACGAGAAAAAAAGAAAAAAAAGAAGAGAAGAGAAAAGGAGCCAGAGATAAAAAAAGAAAAAGAAATAAAGAAACCAGAGATCTTGCCTAACCGATCAAAACTAGAAGACAGGTTTTAAATAAACAAAGAAAGAAAGAAAGAAGAAGAAGAAGAAGAAGACAAAGATTTTAGCCTTCACCAAAATCGTTCATAAACGGCAGAAATTAAAATAAAAATCATAAAAGAAAAGAAAAGAAGAGAGCACAGATCTTACCTTATCGAGGAGCGTGGCAATCCCATTAGCAGTCGGATAGGAGTGTGGCAGATCCAGTGTGACACTGTGCGGCAGCGGCCTGACAGGTTCATTACTATTTTCTGGGCTGAGAGAAAAAGGAAAAAGTCAAAAAAAAAAAAAAAAACAGACCTCCCACCGGAAATCACGGCAGAGTGCGTCCCAGCCACCATCAGATCAAGATCATTTGTGATCTGATGATGGTGGTGGTCCCAACAACAACGAACAAAGTAATTAGCAGTCGGATAGGAGTGCGGCAGATCTAGTGTGACACTGTGTGACAGCGGCCTGACAGATTTTTTATATTTTTCTGGGCTGAGAAAAAAAGGAAAAAGGCGATAAAAAAAAAAAAAAGAAACAGACCTCCCACCAGAAATCACGGCCGAGTGCGTCCCAGCCACCATCAGATCAAGATCATTTGTGATCTGATGGTGGTGGTGGTCCCAACAACAGTGAACGAAGTAATTAGCAGTCGGATGGGAGTGTGGCAGATCCAGTGTGACACTGTGTGACAGCGTGTGACACTGTGTGACAGCGGCCTGACAGATTTTTTATGTTTTTCTGGGCTGAGAAAAAAAGGGAGAAAGCTCAGAAAGGCCAAAAAAAACAACAACAACGAAACAGACCTCCCACCAGATATCACGGCAGAGTGCTTCCCAGCCATCAGATCATCAGATCAACATATCATTTGTGATCTGATGGTGGTGGTGGTCCCAACAACAGTGAACAAACTAACTGCCACTTTTTTTTTTTTTTTTTTTTGAATAAACTCGACTTCTGTCAGCAGTCATCATGACAGCCTTCTCCATATATGTTGTTGTTGTTGTTGTTGTTGTTTTTTTTTTTTTTTACACTGAATATACTTTTCAACAATGACCCATATATATTGTCACAAGAGTATCAGAGCGCAAATGCGAACAAAAAGGAAAAAAGAAAGAAAGAAGGAAAACAACAAAAAATGAATTCATGATTTAATCTTCATCCTTACAAGACTCCCCCTGTTCAGAACCTGTTTTGCGTACAAGGCCGCCCACGTGGATGTAGGTTGAGCAGTGGCTGGCCCCCACCCCCGTGTGTCATATCGACCCACTTGCACACAGCCAAAAGGCAAAGACGCAAAGAAAAGAGGAAGGGAACAGCCAAATAAAACAGAACAGGGGGCAACAAAACAGATCCCAGATGACAAGTCCCGTGATGGAAGGAGAGGGCTCCTCCACCCAATGAGATACTCGCACAACAGCAAGCAAAATACCGAAAATTTGCAAACCAGTGGGCCTATGGCCGATCCCGCCCTCTTATGGAATCGCCCATCCATACCCACAACGGATTGAAAAAGATTTTGGCCGGAAGCTTCCCGCCAAAATCTTTTTCAATCCGATCCATACCCAAAACGGATTGAGAGAGATATTCGGCGGGAAGCGGGAAGCTTCCCGCCAAAATCTTTTTCAATCCGTTGTGGGTATGGATAGCCTTACTTTTTGGGAAGCTTCCGTTGCATGGTCCGTGTTAAGGAGAGGAGGAGGGGAACAAAGTTCTCCTAACTGAACTTTGTTCCCCTCCTCCTCTCCTTAACACGGGCCATGCAACGTATGCGAAGTATGGAAGCTTCCGTTGCACGGGCATGACCGTGGGAACGGGAGATCACGAGTACTGCATCATGGCAGGATTTTTCTTTCTTTGTTTTTTTTTTTTTGAAAAAAATTGGACCATTTCTCGATTTATGCGTGTCATCCTTGCGCAGGGGCCATGCTAATCTACCCTTCTCTGTATCGTTCCAATTTTAACGGATGTCCCGAAGGACTCGTAGCAGGATTTGCGTCACACTCAACTGACACCAACTCTTTTCTATCCTATCCCCTTTTGCTAGTGGGGACCGCGCCCTAAAATCTACAAGCCATAAATTGATTTCACCATATCTAACACTACAAAAAAAGAGATTGAAAAATAGAACCAAAAAAAGCCAGAGATCTTGCCTTGTCCATAAGCTAGACGGCAAACAAAAAAAAAGAAAAAAAAAGCCAGAGATCTTGCCTTGTCCATATGCTAGTTTGCTTTAAAAAAAAAAAAAGCCAGAGATCTTGCCTTGTCCATAAGCTAGACGGCAAAGCAAACACTTATCGAAC